TTCTGCCATGCCTTAGACCGTGGCATACTCATTCAAACGGAAAAAAATGAATCTAGAACCAAGGTCCACAGAGAATTTCGAATTACCAGATCAGCGATTTTTTATCCTTGTCTGGTGAATAATTATCTCTCTCAAAAGTAACAGTGTTGGGCGAAACATTTTAACATAATCTATCCACTAGTTCTTACAGATCTTGAAAAAATTCATGCGATTTGCATGTGCATTGACCAAAATAACTTTTCATGAACGATGGGAATGGTCTTAAATGTCCAATTACTTCTTGAACTGACTGTATAGTTTTTCGGCTGCTACTCGACAAAACTATTCAAGACATACTCGACTTTAAGAAATCTCCTATGCATCTTACTTGAAGTCAGGTATAGTTTTGAGGTCCTCACATCTTACAGGTTTTTGAAGGCATACTTTTAAATCTTAGTCGTAGTCTTGATGTCCTGATGTCCTGAAATGAGTCGAAATGATGACAGCATTAAGCTTTTATATTTTTGTTAAATTTAATGCTTGTATCGGTATAGTTTCTGAAATCTAAAGATTCTTTAGGTAAAAATCATGAAAAGAGTTTTAATCTTAGAGTTATCAAGTCTTTGGTACTGTCTCAATCGGAGAAGCTTTTCACTGTTGTATAGTCAGTTTTCGATATAGTAATGCATTTAATTCTGTAAGTCTTTTGAAGTCATAGTGTTGAAGTTCTTATGTCATAAAAGTTTTGTAAGTGTCAACGTTTGTTTCTTCGAAATAGTCAAGAGTTTTGAGTCTTGAAGTCTTAAGAATCTGGATTGTTGCTATGAGTTGAAGTCTCGGGCTTTATGATTCGTTGGAGCACGACTGTTGTGTGTAAGACAATTGTGTGTAAGACAATTATGTGCAGACAATTGTGTATATGAACAATTATGTGCAAGGAAATTGTGTGTTAGATGTTTGTGTGCAGATAATTGTGTGCAAAATGAGTGTTTGTATGTGCAAATAAATATCTTTGTCAAAAAAAAGTGAAAGACAATGAAGGAAAAGAAGTAAACAAAATAACAAAGATTAATCAAATACATCGCCAGTATATTTTATTTTCATGAGCACGTTCTTGAATGTAATCAAAACCGTTCTCAATCAGAACTGTCTTGCCTTTTTCAGTTTCAGAAAATAAAATTGACATGATGTGTTCGTACTTTCAAGGTGATCTATATGATAGTGAATTTTAAATGACTGTAAATGGATATCTTCTATTATTCTCACTCGTTTAAATACTTTCAAGGAAAATTGATCGAGGTCCATGCACATTACCGTCCAGTCTCATAAGTGTCTTACACACAACTGTCTGTTCTCATAACTGTCTTACACACAATGGCCTCTTCTCATAATTGTCTTACACACAACTGTCTGTTCTCATAATTGTTTTTCACACAATTGTCTGCACACAATTGTCTTACACACAACAGTGGTAGACCCCTGCTAAATCACCTTCATTCACATTTATTCAGAATATCAAATTTCAATAGAAGATATTGTTTTTATTAAAAACAATTGCAGTACAAGAAGCTGAAAAAGAAACTGATTTTTAGCTGATGTTACTTAGAATAGTATTAAATGAAAAGGTATCAGAATCAAGTCATAGTATCACGTTTGGATACATTGACATTTCCAAAAAAAAATTCTAAAACAGTTATTTTGTTGACAGATATTTATTAGCTATTAAAGTAAATTAATAATTGAAAATGTTTGCTGTTTATTTTCTTTCTTTGTTTATTAGAATCAACCAAATTTAGAAGCATTAACTGGTAATAATTGAACTTTTCCAACTGTTCCATCAGCAATAAATTATTTATTACATCTTCTTTTAACATTAATGTTTTGGATAAGTAGTAGAAAAAAAGATGCACGAAAAAATTTAATTCAATTGGTATTTCATATATAATGATAATTCTTATTAATTCTCTAAAACCACCATCAAAACTTGCATCAGCTGTAGGTGTATCAAATGGACCTCGAAGTCGAGCACCAGGGCAAATATAACTAGTGGATCTGGTATTGGTGGTGGAAAACAACATTGAACTATTGGTGAAGCTATTTTATAGAATAGTAGTTTTACATATAAATCTTTGAAACAATTAAAAGATCGTTTACAAACTGTATCTTTATTAGGTAAATGTGTTTGATTAACTAAATTTTTATATCGATAATTTGTTTTTTTTAGGATAAAAAGTATGAATTATTGATCTTAGTAAACAATTAAAACTTGAATGGCAAAGAATAGCTCAATCAATAAAATTTATGTGTAATAAACAATCAAATGTATCATCAATTCTTGTATCATTTATTGATTTTATGATATCATATAAAACTCCAATATTTGTTATACTTGGGCCATTTCTTTTTCATTATCTAAGATTAATTATTAAAATAAATAAAATTTCATTTATTTTTTCTCGATTATATGCACTCCAGTTTCATCAGAAAATGAACGTGATTATGAAATGATTACAAATATTAAACAAAAACTTATTTTTGATAAAATAACACCATACAAATTCGTCGAAAAAATTTGAAATGGATCAATGCAAGAGTTAAATCAATTAAAAGCTGAATTAATAGGTAAAATTTGTTTTCATTTAAATTAATTAATAATTAATAACAAAAAAAAATATCTGTAGTGGTATTAATGACAACAACACGAGAAATGAGTCGTATAGTGCAGGTTTAGAAGATGGAAAAAAGAAAATTATTTTATCGAAAGCATCACGACGAAGAAAACGTGAAGATAGTTCTCTTATTCGTCTATCATCATATGGTTTGTTTTTTGTATGGATATTCATCATAGAAATGATGAGATGAGTCATCCTCATCAGCTAGTCAATCATTTCTACTGCCCAATAGTATCTAATCGTTTCGTCATTTATTATTCACTAAATCGTCTGATGGCAATATATGTCTACTTGTTTTAGATAATACAAAAAATGAGTCAAGATAATAATAATCAACCGTTACCAAATGAACTCGCCGATCGGGTAAATGACTACTGAAATCCTTTTGACATCACTAGTTCACTTTTTTCTTTATAGTTGGATATTTATGAAATGATCTATGATTTTCAAAAGAAAAACCAAAAGGATGTCAAACAAGAATTAAAAGAGGCAAAAAATACTGGAAATCAACAATTAATTGAAGAAAAACAAATTCAATATAAAAACGAAATCGAAAAGAGTCGTATTGCTGCTGAAGTGATGAACGATGGAGTGTAAGAAGAGTATCAGTGGAAAAAACAAAACGGTAATTTCTCGTTTTATGTATGACATGTTAAATCTGTATTTACTTTTTCGGTGAAGAGCTTCAATGTCCAAGTGATGAATCATCTGATGATGAAGATGGAGATGAAGATAAAGATCAATATGTATCAAAGGTAAAGATATTTTGTCTATTAACATATAATTTGATTATTTATTTCTAGATGTTGATGAAGTTAAAGGTTTTTTGTTATTTTTTGAAAATAAATATGAAGATTTTTTTTATTGTTATTTAAATGTAGGTGATGATGAAGAAATTAAAACAATATCTGATCAAGAAAAAAAAACTTGAACAAATGGATGAAAATTGAGATCAAGTTAATTTTGATGATAATGGTGATGAAGATATTCATGATATTGGTTTAAATTTAAAAGAATGTTATATATAAAGAGTGAGTTATTTTTCTGATATAGGCAACAAGATGAAGAAAATGAAAAAACAACAGCTGATCATTTGTCTGATATTGGTAAATTACTTGAAGGTGATACAATTAGTAAAAGTATTTATTGAAATTATCTTAGAATTAAGATTAAATTTACGAAAAAAATAATTGTAGAGATGAAATCAAGTTCAAATGTTGATATTGAAAAAAAAAGATGGAAAAAGAACTGCTGATCATTTGTCTGATGTTGATAAATTACTTAAAGGTGATACAATTAGTAAAAGTATGTATTAAAACTATCTCAGAATTAAGATTAAATTTATGAAAAAAATAATTCTTGAAATGAAATCAAGTTCAAATGGTGATGATGATCTTAATGATCCTAATAAAGAACGAATTAAATCAATTACTGTAAATCGAATAACTTTTTTCTCTCGATTTTAGATATAATATTCTTTTTTATCTAGACTTCTATCAACTTTCAGTCAAATCTATTTGAACAAGTTCAAATTGGTAACGCATATCTCTATTTTTTTTTATCACAAACATTTTTATAAAATTTCACACATATACATGTATAAGTAGAGACCGCTGGATGAAAAATCTTTCGAACTCTGTACTCGTTGATTAAATAAAAACCACAATAATAAAATTTAATTACTTTCATTCTAGAAAAATATAATAAGAAGACACAAGAAGAAGAAATACGAACAATTAAATCTAATATTACGTCGTTATCAAGTACACCATCAAATGTAAGGTCTATTTTTTCTTTTCTTGTTTGTCTAAAATCATTTTCTTCGTATATTTTAGTCAAATGATTGCTGAAGATGAAGACACATATTAAACTTAAAATAACTTAATTGTCTTTTATTCATCAATTCACACTTATATGTTTGCATAAAATACTATTCTTATGATTTCTTTTTGTTTGTATAAATAAATGTATAAAAAAAGAAACGTGCAATACACCAAAAGAATAACAATTACATAAGACAAAGGTTTTTGTTTGAAATATTTAAATGCTAAAAAAAAAGATGATTGTTCATTGATTTATCAGACAGATTAAAGACATAGTAGCAATAACAATTGTCTTATTTCAGATTACTAAACAATCACCTCTTTGTTTTCATTTGCGCATCAATACTGAACGTGTTGCAAATTCAAAGTACTCTGTGAACACCTAGACAAAAGCATTGAATATTGAATAAAATCAGATTTAAAGTTAGACATAATAACTTTGTTTAGTTATTGCAGAATATTCAAGATAATCAATAGCATCAAATCTTCTAGTCATACCTCGATTCTCTTCCCATTGGACAGAATTTTGTTTCATTTTTATTAGTTCTCTCTTAATTGCTTCATCATTTCGTGGGTTCTTTTTTATTACTTGAAAAGAAAAAAAATATAATTCATTCAGAGCAAAGAATAAACAAAAGTAACCAGCAAAAGCGAATATTATTCTAATCTATGTGTCTTCATCAACTTAGAATATGTACATTTTAGAAGCAAAATGATAAGATGTTTAATTTGACAAAAAAGCACAGAAAAGTGTTAAAGGGTGATTCAAAAGTCTTCATCACTCTTAGAAAAATTGCTCACTCTCCTTTATTATTAATTCAAAACGCTCAAAGCTGGACGTCTAATCTCTTGTAACTAGACGAATATTACCCTAAATTTTCAGACCTCTAGCTCAAGATGAAAACAGCTGATCCGAATTAAACGAATCATTTGCAATCATTCGAAATCATTTGCAATCATTGAGAAAAAAGGAGCGTTCACACTTTTTTATAGTAAAAAATAGTCGATCCGAGTTTTTTTACACAACTGTGACTTCGTTATTAAGTTTTTAGGAAAAAAAGTGAATACTCTCTAAAAACAATTGGTATTCTAGCGAGTCTTTTTAAGTTCCACAGCAGCTACGAAACCTAAAATGGTTCTTATCCTGGGTACACGCGCGGAACCTTTGCTACAAAACCTTTTTAAGATCGGTGAGACGCAAAAAGGTTCGGTATGAAAAATATGAAACCACCCACATTCCAGACGAATCCTTGATGGCTTGATGAGAAATCTTTACGGTTTCGCCTCGAACCTGGGTGTTTTCGTATTTTTCATACCGAACCTTTTTGCGTCTCACCGATCTTAAAAAGGTTTTGTAGCAAAGATTCCGCGCATGTACCCAGGATAAGAACCATTTTAGGTTTCGTAGCTGCTGCGGAACTTTAAAGGGTTCGATAGTATAACTATTTTTTTAGAGTGTATATAAATGGCCTATTTCAAGGATAAGGTGTCGGAAAGTTGAAATTTCAGCAAAACGTTGTTTGCTAATTTCTTGGCATGGTTAGATACAGCTCATCCAGTTACCTATAAAAATGTTGTTTTTATTATTTCCTGACTGATTCTTGTCAAAAATTCCGAATATACTATTTTTCCGAAAATGACCTTAGAGCAATATTATTGTTAAAAAATGCGTGGTATGGTGCCATTTTCTCATATTTATCGTTCGTTTTATCTCCCTAAAATATTTTAATCTAAGTTTCTGGAAAGGCTTGGTATAGAAAAACAACTTTAACGAAATTAAAAGATAAAATTGCTTAACAATCAGTCCAGACATGAATAGGACTATAGATAGGTCTGAAAGGCTCCAAAATGGTACCTTTCAAAGACATCAACTCACCATAGGCATATATTATACTGATTCTTTTTTCATAGTTATAACCATCATATTTATACTAAAATAAAATACATTTGGGTTTTGGACAAGCTCCTTCTATCATTGAAAAAACTGAATTTTCTCCGACGTCTGTCGCAAAGCCATAGAAAAGAATTAAAATCATACTCGTATTTAGCAGTTTTCATCATTATAGCTGAATTAAACAGCAAAATAAATAGCACATTTGGAATCAACGGAGAAAACTGCATCAAAACAGACATATTTTAGCAAAATTAATTTTTTACGAAAAATCCACCTGTGGTCCTTCTCAGCAGTTTTTCCACAAAAATTTTCCTATGGTATTCCCAAGTCATTTTTTTCGTAAAAAATTAATTTTGCTAAAATATGTCTGTTTTGATGCAGTTTTGGGTGTGGTTGCGGGTGTGGGTGTGGGTGTGGGTGTGGGTGTGGGTGTGGGTGTGGGTGTGGGGGGGGGTGGGTGTGGGTGGGGGTGGGGGGGGGGGGGGGTGGGGCGGTGGGTGGGGGGGGG